TTTTTTTTGGCGGAACCAGGGATTGAACTCAGATCCTTGCGATTGCCGGTCAAGCGCTTATCCTACTGAGCCATCTCCCCGGCCCCTTTTTTTTTAATGGAACCAGGGATTGAACTCAGGCCCCTGCACTTGCCAGGCAAGCACTTTAAATATTTTTTTTTTTAAAGATTGTTTCAAAAAACATATAAAGGGCTGGGAATTTAGCCCTTTATAGGTAGGGTATTTCTAGGTTTAATCTCCAGTATCACAAAAGATAGAAAAATGATAGAGGAGGGGATTACTCCCATTTCTCACCTCTGCTTATGTCATACTGGCCTTCACCCTCAGATACTAATTCCAATCTTTTCTTTGTTTGTTTTCTTTGGTGGGGTGATTGAGACAGTGTCTCCTATGTAGCTCAGGCTGGCCTTGAACTCACAGCAATCCTCTTGCCACCCCACCCCCCAGGGCTGATAAGGAAGACAGCTGATCCTTGGTGTTCTCATGCTGCCTCCCTGCAGCACAGAGGGGTCTTGGGCGATGCAAATAGCCTGTGCCAGGCAGGTCCTCCAGTGTCCCTCCCTGACCTAGACAGGCAGCCGCATCCTCGGTTGTGACCTGAGCAAACAGAGGACAGGCCCAGGCCAGTTCTTCTGGTTTTTGACGAATGCCACTGGATCCAACTCATCAGCCCTCTGGCTTGGATCTTTCATCATCATTCATCTTAAAGGCCTGGGAGCCGAGGGGTGGGCCCTGGGTCTGCACATGTTAGAAACGGGGTGTCATGCTACAGAGGTCCTAGGTCATCCAGACGATTCAATCATTCATTTAAGGCAGAGTCTTTCCCAGGCCTCCTCCATTCCTCCTGTGTCCTTGTGGAAGCAGACGCAGAGCTGGGCACTGCAGGGTTCCTAAGGGCCACTCCCCACTGGGTCCCTGTACAGATGCCAGGACAGTTCTGCACCTAACAGTTCTATCCACAAGTTCTCTGTACAATAGGCCTGGAGACAGATCAGATCTCATTATATCAGCTCCCTGAATTTTGTCTAGCAGTTCTAGAAATGACTTCTCAAAACGACTCCATGAATCTAGTTTTCTGTTCTCTGCTGAAGAAACAGCAAGGATCCTGATCTGGCTGGGTGTGATGGTACACACCTACATTCTCAGAACGCTGGGAGGCTGAGGCAGGAAGACTACAAGTTCTAGCCCAACCTGGGCAACTTAGGCCTCTTCCATGGCTGCCTTCTTGCCTGGCCTTGCAGGCTGCAAAGGGATACCAAGGCCATTGCTGTCCAGAGCCAACCTGGGGTACTGGTGCCAGGACCCCACAGAAAGCTTCAGGACACTGCTGGTAGCTTTTTTTTCTTTTTTGGCAGAAACAGGGATTGAACTCAGGCCCTTGCACTTGCCAGGCAAGCACTTATTCTACTGAGCCATCTCCCCGGCCCCATGCTGGTAGCTTTTCTCCCTGGCTGACAGTTCATAAGGCTTGTGGCTAAGTCCACCCTTCCTCGCTGTCTGCCTCTCCTCCAAGCATCCTTGGCTGGGTTGAGGGTGCTCCAGGGACACCAGGGTGGTCAGGAGCATCATAGGCCAGAGCTGCAGAAGCACCTAGCTCCCAGCCAGCACCTGCTGCTCCCCGGTTGGGCAGACCTGGGTGTCCTGGAGGGAGGCTTATGTCTGGAACACAATGCTCCTGAGGGTGCCCCAGACGGGCCTGGGGGCTCAGCACCCAGGGGTGTGGGGGCCACCCCCAGGGGCCAACACCAGGCAAGCCTGGTATATAGACAACTGAGTTAGGTAGAAATATTCTAGGCAGTCAGACAGGGCTGGGCCCTCAAGCCAGGCAGTGTAGATGATAACATAACAACTGTGTCTGGAAGCTGAACCACTGAAGGCCAGGCCTCAAGATAAAGACAGAATGACCAGGTCTACATGCCTCCCCAGGGAATAAGCAATAAAGTGAAGATTATTCTGTAACTGGTATCACTTGGTCCAATAAAGTTTAGATAGCCATCAGGCATCAGGTGGGCAACAAGGCCCTCTTCATCCATGCCTTCCAAAAAACCAATCTTTTCTTTTCTTTATTTTTTTTGGCGGAACTGGGGATTGAACTCAGGCCCTTGTGCTTGCCAGGGAAGCACTTATTCTACTGAGCCATCTCCCCAGCCCCAAAGAGGCTGCTGGGTTTTTTTTTTTTTTTTTTTTTTTTTTTTTTTTTTTTTTTTTTGCGGTACTGGAGATTGAACTCAGGACCTTTACTGAACTATCTCCCCAGCCCTTATTTATTTTTTAATGCATTTGGTACAGGGTCTCACTACACAGCTCAGACTCATAGTGATCCTCCTGTTTTCAGCCTCCCCAGAGCTTGGATTACAGGCGTGCACCACCATTCCTGGCCTTGGTGGCCAGCTCAGTGCACCAGGGGATGGGGCCAGCACAGCATGTGGTGCCCGGTCCCTGCGCTTGCCAAAATAAAATCTTTGTTCTTTCCATACACACTTGCTATGTGACCGGCTTCCCCAATGGATCAATATTACTAAGTGGCTATGCTTATAATTGCATTTGTTGATCACAGTTCTGACCTGCGTTGTACCCACCTCATGATTTTGCTCTACACAACTTCCTCTGTGAAGTGGGGTTCACAGCAACTGACTTCAGGTCCCCTCCTGTCTCTCTAAAACTATCACTCTCAATAATTTTTTTCTACAGTTAACCTTTGATTTTGGGAAACACAAACCTAGGGTATCTGACACACAGCAGGTTGGGAGTTATATTTCCCCTGTATCACTGGGATGGACATGGTTGGCACGCTGCACAGGACCCTGCAGCACCAAGCCAGGGTGATGAGCTATCTCCTGCAGGATGAGAGAGACGGGGACCCACACACGGGCAGGGGACAGGAGAGGGCACTTGTTTCACTAGCTCAGACATCAGCACAGGGAGGCGCGTAGACAGGAAACACATGCTGTCAGTGCTTCTTCTAGCCCTGGTCTGTGTCTGGCCACTGGCACAAGAGGCAAGGGTGATCCCTGTGCCCCATCCCCAGCCCACATGTGTCCCCAGGAGGCCAGACAGGGGTTCCTCCTAGCCCAGTGCGCTCTGTCCTCCCAGCTGGGCACCTCCCTCCCGGGGAGCTGGGTCAGCACACCCCCGGCACAGCTGCAGGGGCTGGAGGAAGTGGCGGATGCTGTCCCCCAGTTCAGCTGCCCATCTGTTTCCTGGGCTAGGCCTCCTGTCTCCACATACCCAACAGGAAAGCCACTTGCTCCGGGTCATGAGAAAGGAGTATGTGGTTCCCGCCTTCCCAGGAGGTAGTGGCAGAGGTGCTGCAACCCTTCCAGGCCTCCCATGCTCAGGCTCCAGCCAGCAGCTCCCACCCACGGTTCTGGGCACAGGAGGTGGCAGCTCCTGGCAGCACCGCCCCCAAAGTACTGTGCCCAGTCTCAGAGCAGCCCCCAGACCCTGCTTATCCAGGCCTTGGGGTGGAGTGGGGGTAATTTTTGGGACAGAAGTTTGAGGAAAGCAAAAAAAGCAAAATAAACCTTCCTGGCCCCAGCCAGTGGTCTCCATGTGTTCATCTGTGGGTGAGCAGCGCCCCCTGCTGGGAGTGTCAGACACAGTGTCTGGGACACACCACATAAGGTGTCTGAAAATCCCTGTAAGGAAAACACACAGGGAGGAGTACCCTGTGGCAGTGGAAAAGGGGCCTTGGGATGGGAGATAGGAGGGCAAGCGGGGGGAACGGAGGTAAAAATGACTTAGATTCCATTATATGTACATGTACCAATTCCGCACAATGAATGCCATTATGTATTACAAACATGTACTAATAAAAAATAAAAAATTTTAAAAAAGAGAGAGAGAAAGAAGAAAACACACAGCCTAGGCCCAGACACTCCAAAAACCTACTGTCTTTTTTTTTTTTTTTTTGCAGAACTGAGGATTGAACTCAGGACCTTGCGCTTGCCAGGCAGGTGCTTATACTATTGAGTTATCTCCCCAGCCCCTAACCTATTGTCGAATAACACAAATAGAGTCCAATATGACCTATGTTTCCCTGTCATGAGTCTAAAAGGAGAGGAGTGGCCAGGTTGGGCTTTGAAGGTTCATGATTCCGGCACTTTGGCATTCTGGAGGGCTGAGCCAGGAGGATCACAAGCTACAGCCCAGCATGGGCAACTTAGCAACTTAGTGAACCCTGTCTCAAAAAGGGGGGTGGGGGCTTGGGGACGTAGCTCAGCAGCACAGTGCCTGCCTGGTAAGTGCAAGGTAGTGCACCTACTGAATTTGATTCCCAGTACCAAAAATATTTACAAAGGGGATAAAACTCACTGAAAAGGTCCTGGATTCAACCCCTAATTCTACAAAATAAATTAGAAAATTAATAAAATAAAGCAGGAGAATACAGCAGTCTAAGTGCCTGAATGGCAAGTGCAAGGTCCCAGGTTTGACCCCCCAGCACTGTATGCTATGCTGGCCCTGGAACCCCAGGCACTCCGTGCCAGCCACCAAAACCAGGCATGGTGCCACATGCCTGTAATCCCAGTGCGGGGGAGGCTGAGCACAGGAGAATCACTATGAGTCTGATCGGTGTAGCAAGACCTTGTACCAAACAAACAAGCAAACAAACAAATAAATAAATGATTTTTTTTAAAGGAGGAGGATAAAACCATGTGGGCTAGTGAGGAAGGCTTCTGCGTGGGCTCTGAATTTGGGGGGAACAGAAGGAGCAGTAGGGCCTGATGGGGTCTGCCCCAGGACAATTCATGGGGCATGGGGACCACAGGGACACAGACTCCCAGGACTCTGAGGCCAGACCAGGAAGTGGAGCCACTGCTTGGAACTTCTGCCCCAAGCCATATGCTACATGTCTGTATCTATATCTATATTTATATCTATATATTTTTATGCATTTAGTACAGGGTCTGCAGGGTCTCACTACACAGATCAGACTTGTAATGATCTTCCTGTTTTCGGCCCCCTAAGTGCTGGGATTACAGGTGTGCACCACCACATTCAGTCTCAATCCTGTCTCAGTTTGCCCCAGGGGCGGGGCCAGCAAACCTGGGATTGAACCTGGTCCCTGTGCATGCCTAAACAGGCACTTTAATCTGCTGAGCTATCTGGCCGGCCTTCCAAACCCCATAAACCCCATATATAAAACCAACTAAAGCTGAGGTTGCCTGATCAAGAATAGGGGGCAGAGTCCCTCACCAAGCTCACAGTGGTGGCTCAGGGGAACTCTCTGAACATCTGAGCCAGCAGTTTGAGAACAGAGCCTCACACCACAACCAGGAGCCCAAGGCCTTGGTGCCTATGATGGATGGGGCACAGTGTCCACCAAAAAGGGACAAGGCTACTTTAGGAGAGGTGAGAAGGGTGTTGGCCCCTCCTCTGTGGGTCCTCAGGAACTAGAGTCAGGGGAAGGGCACCCAGGCCCACAGTCATGATCTCCCACACCATGAAGCTAACCTAACTTGCGCATCCCCTGTGGGGGTCTCTGTCCCATGAGTGCCCCATGTGCAACCACATAGGGGACCTGGACAGACGCTACCATTAGGAATAAACCACGCACTACAGAGGAATGAGCTGGCCACTAACTAGCTGTCCAGAGGGGATACTCACCCCAGGAACATCCAAAAGCCTCGACACCAGAAGAGGCAACTTCAGGGCAGCAACACTGCCAGTGACACCAACGAGAATGCGGAATTTTCTCTCCACCTGGGGTCTGGTGGCTGGACTGGAGGCTCTTGGTTCCATGTGGCGTCTGGTGCCTTTGGGCTCCTTGAGCCCACAGAGCAGGGGCTCCAAGAAGTAATGTGTGACTCAGGAACTGAAGAAGAACAGAGGGTATCCCCTGAATTCATGTGTCCAACCAGGAAGCAGGCAGGGCACTGGCATGAGACCCACCATGAGCTAGGCTGCCAGGGGATAAGCAGCCCAAGCTTCTGGCTGCTCTTATCATGGACAGCTAAGCTAGACAGAAATTAGTAGGCAGTCAGAGAGGGATCAGGCCCACAAGGGAGTCTGTGGAGAGGATAAGACATAAAAAAACTGTGACTAGGGGCAAATTTAAAGAAAGCCAGGGGGCCAGAGAGATAGCTCAGCAGTCTAAAGCACCTGCTTAGGCAAGCTTAGGGATGGAGGTTCGATCCCTGGCACCACATGCCACACCAGCCCCGTCCCCAGGTTGGCCTGAGCCAGCCACAAAAATAAATAAATAAAGACAGCCAGGCCCGCAGACCTCCCTAGAGCTAAACAGTGCCCTGAGATTGTACTCTAATTAGCACCACCTGACCCAGTGAGCCCAAACAGGCTACACAGGCAGGTGACCAGAACACCCTCACCCACACTCTCATCCCTTTCCAGGGATGCCTTGGTTCTATGTCAGAAAGACAGATAAAGGGGGTGGGGAGAAGGCTCAGTAGAATAAGCGCTTCCCTGGCAAGCACAAGGGTCTGAGTTCAATCCCTGGTTCCGGAAAAAAAAAAAAAAAAAAAAGACAGATAAGTCAAGGTTAATATTGCCCATCATATATCCATGCCAGGTGCCTTGCTTCCCTATTGGATCAGTAGTAGCTAAGCAACTATACTTGTAATCCTATAGGTTGACTGTGGTTTGACCCATGTTGTGATTCTGCTTATAAAACACCCTTGGACAAAGAGCCTCTACTGCAACCCACGTTGGGGACCACTCTTGTCTCTTAGGAGCTTTCTCTCAATAAACCTTTCCTACTCTTAACCTTTGTTCCTTAAATCCATTCATTATCAGGAGATACCAATTTGGAGCATCTAATGGTTGGGAGTTATTACCCTGTGACACTCACAGTGGATAACAAAGTCAGCCCTGACCATAATCCCAGAGGTTGGGAGACTGGGGCAGGAGGTTCACCTTGAGTTCAAACCCAGTCTGAGCTACACAGTCTGAACTACATATCGAGACCCTGACTCAAAAGAGGTCTGAGCTGCACAAAGAGCGATGGGCAGGCTGGTTACAGGCCTGAAGAGCGTGATCACTGGGGTCCCAGCTAGCAGGTGAGCTGCGGCTGGAAAAGTGCAACCTCAGCGCTTACGAAAGACAGGGACAGGGCCGCGGTGGAGCTCAGCCTAGTATGCGAGGGCTTCAGTTTGATCCCAGGCACATGCAAACACACACACACACACACACACACACACACACACACACACACACGGCCAAAGAACCCGAGAATGTGACGTCAACATCTCTTTCTCTGAAAGTTAATTCAGGGCAGAGTTAAATAAAAGTTTCAGGGATGCAAAAGGCTGAAGGGGCAGAAACTGCGTCCGACAGAAAGGGTGAGGGGCCGGGGTCTCGTGCAGCACCAAGCGGAAGGAAGTGGCAAGCAGGGTCTGAGCCCCACGGAAGCTGGGACGTAGCTCAGAGAAGTGTGTGTGTGTGTAGACGCGCGTGTTGTTCCGCTAAACGCGCGCGCACACACACACACACACACGCACGCACGCACACATACACCACAAACAGCTGCGGCTGCCGCTCCTGCCTTCCACCTCCCTCCTCAGCTAACTCTGGCCTTAGCTAGTTCACCAGCCCCCCAACACTGCTCACCCCGCTAGAAGCCTTCAAGGGAAGGCCCAAATATCGCGGTACTTCACTCGTCCTTCCCAGAGATGGCTAAATGACACGCAGTCTCACAAGAGTAGTGGGCCGGGCTCAAGGCTGCACAGCCTGCTGGGAGTTGTAGTCCACTTCTCGAAGGCAGGGTTGTGTAGTCCACTGGGTGACTTTTGACACAAATCCTGGCTCTATTCTTTATATTCTCTGGAACTCTCACCAAGGCCTGACCTCACTGCCCAAACTCCTCTACCCACTCCGTACGTTCACAGTATCCAGGACTCAGGCACTTCACAATGGGTATTTACCAAGTCTTATCTGATAAATGAGGTGCCACTGTTGGGGGGGGGGGGGACTGACCACAAACAGGGACACAAAGTCTAGCCCAAGGTCCTCTATGAGGAAGAAAAGGGTCCTAAGCAACATGTCTCGCAGAAACATCTCTCTATGAGAGATTCACTTGAGGTGAATTTTCCAAGTTGACTAAGGCAGAGGGCCGGAGCAGCTCTCCAGGCAGAGGCCACAGCACTGGGCAAAAGAAAGTGGCGGGAGAAGGAATGGTGGGTGCATTTCCTGCCTTCATTGTCCAGCCCCAGGATCTTTAGTTCACGAGACTACTCAGCCTACAATGGGGTCCCAGCATGAATAAGCACTAAGGGGCTCAAGAGCTCTTCTACCTTGTCCAAAGAAGCCACCTTTAAAAAAAAAAAAAATCATGGAAGGGTTTTTGTTTTTGTTTTTTGCGGAACTGGAACCGGGGATTGAACTCAGACCTTGGCTTGCCAGGCAAGCGCTTATTCTACTGAGCTATCTGCCCAGCCCCATGGAAGGTTTAAAAAAATTACAAGAAAAAAAAATATATATAGAAGGTTTTATTTCATAAAAAAATGCCACTACTTAGTATTTTGCTCTTCTGGCTCTTTTTTAAAGCTTTGAGTAACTTACAAAAAATTTTACAATCTGGTCTCTAAGGCAATTAACACAAGCTGGTATGCTGGAATGGATAGGAGCTCATTTAAACAAAAACTTCAAAAAAAAAAAAAATCTCACAAGTCAACGGAATTCTGCCCCATTTTAGGTCCAAATGAATCAAGCCAACCTATTCTTCGTCTTCCCCAGACATTCCTGAGCACCTTTCCACATTTATTTTCACATCACTTGAATTCTGCAATCTTATCAACCCCCTCTTCTGTAAACCCTCAAAGCTGGCTCCTGTGTGCACACCACTTCACAAAACAGGCTTTTTCCTTTTGGGGATGGGAGGTGCATTTGAGGCAGGCCCTCACTGTGTAGACCAGACTGGCCTCCAACTACATGTGATCCTCCTGCTCCAGCCTTCTTAGCACACAGAGACCATCTAGACCTCAGTGACAAACCTTTTAGAGAGGAGCACCCAAACTGCAACCCAAAACCCATTTATTTATTGCGAAGTGCCAACACTACAATTAAACCTAAATATGGAAGTTTAAGCTTAGAAAAACAACTCATAGCCTGGTATGGTGCTCCATGACAATAATCCCAGCACTCAGGAGACTGACGCAGGAAGATTACTGTGAGTTTGAGGCCAGTGTGGGCTACATAATGAAGTTCAAGTCCAGCCTGCATGACAAAGTGAGACCCTGCCTAAAAAAGAAAAAAAAAAATCTTTTGTTTCAAAAGAAAAAAAGAACAATGAGGCATGGTGGTGCATGCCTATAATCCTAGCAATAGGAAAGCTGAGGTAGGAGGATTGCTGTGAGTTCAAGACAGCCTGGGCTACAAAGTGAGCTCAAGGCCAGCCTGAACTGCATAGCAAGACCCTGTCTCAAGAAAGAAAAAAAAAAAAAAAAAAAAAAGCTTGCATGCCATGGGTTTACCACCAGTTTACACCAAGGCAGCCCTGCCCCAAGTCCCTGCTGCCTCCTGCCTTCTCAATAACACACTCCCCTCTTCCAGTAGGCAGGAGCCTCTGAGAACTGTAAGGCCTATCCAAGGCCACTTCAGAGAAAGAACCATGCAGAAACACGTGACATTGGTGCCAGGCAAGGAGTGACAGGGTTCACAGCCACCCAACCGCCATATACCTGCCCTGCAGCTACAGCAAGGCTTCATGCAGGCCCCCCATTAAGACACATGACACACAGGACACATGTTCCCCTTTATTACAGTTCACTCAGTTACCACAGATAAACATGTTGGCTTAGGCAGGTCAACTGCCAGCCAAGGAATGGTCTGTGTCTCCCGGAAACAAGGAGGGCAGTGGGCACCAGGAGAATGCAGAAGCAGGCCTCTGGCGGGCCCCAGACCTGCGGATCCCAGAATTGACTGGACTCTCCTCCCACTTCCTGGGCTTAGGTTCCCTCCCAGGAAGTGCATAGTTGCCAGGAGATGCAGCATCCTAGGGTCTGAGCGAGCCAGGCCAGGTGCAGGAGACAAACTTTCCCCAGGGCAGCGCCAGGCCTGGCCATGTAGGTCTCAGCCAGGAAAGTGGAATGGGACAGGAAATTGATTAGAGGTGGCATTCAACAGATCAAGAATGCTAGGCTGGCAGCTGGAACACAGCACTCCAGAATGACCAGAGGGACAAAGAGAAAGAGAGCTAGAAGTCTGGGTAAGGGGAAGAAAGGAGAAGGGCCTGGACCTAGAGGCTGGGATAGCTGCTCTCCAGAGAGAATGGCAGAGAACCAATCACAGCATGGGGCTCAAGCCTGAGGGACATCAAGAAGAGGACTCTGCGAAGGCCCTGAGCTTCTCTCATAGGGAAGAGACACCATGGAAGATCATGCTCTGGATGGCCTGAAAACCCGAGTACTGAGCTCCACGTGGAGCCAGGGGCTACCCAGCTAGCCCACCGGGCCTCTGTCAGAACAAGGAGGGTGGGGACAGGCACCTGCTCCCTAGGTGATCACCCCACTCCCACCACCCTCCCTCAAAGCAATAGCCACCCCCTTCTTGGAATAGAACAGCCCCAGTCCTAGACTCCCTCCCTGGAAATATGGTGAGGAAGGACCAGGAACCAAATCCTGCAGGCAAAGAAGAACAACTTAGCTGACTGCGGAAAAATGGAGCTAAACTAAATGCCCCTGCCTGCCTGTCTCACCAGAATCCCTCTTCCGGCCTTTGTGCTTTCAGTCCAATGGCACCTGGCACTTCTTCCTGGGTCAGAATGCAAATGCCTAGGGCTGCCCCGTGGCCAGGAGCAAGTGGGGCAGAGGCGTAAGCTCCTCTCTTGAGAGCCCTGTCTCACTGTCCTCTGAGTTCCCCTCCCTCCTGCCAATCCAGCAGGAAAGCTATGCTTCTAGGAACCCAGTGGTCATGCAGAGACCCCAGAAGCCTTGCAGGCCTAGGTCGACCAGGCCTCTGCCAGGGACCCATGATTATTTACAGTTTCTGCTCCAGTTTCAAGGTACAGGTGACACCTACCCAGAGAGACCCAGCTCTTCAGAGAAGGCAGAGGGGGCATGAGGAGGTGGCAAGGGGCGTGCTCGAGAGGGCTGGAGGCAGAGACGGGAAAGGCACAGGAGGGAAAGGATGAGCCTGCCTCTGCAACCAAACTGAGAGCCAAGGAGACCAGGCCTACATTTCCTTTCCTGGGACCCAGGCACCCCTAAGGGCTCTGCATGTCCCACTGTAAGCATGCCACATCAGCCCCGGCTTTCTGGAGCTGGCTTTCTGGAGCTGGGAATCCAGTCATACTGGGAATCTGAGCTCAGTCTCAGAGCAGATACAACTAGGACACAGCCTCAGAGGGACAAAGAAAAACACCACTCAGGGAAGAAAGACCCCAGGGAAGGGAAATGCGCAGGGGATCTGAAGGCAGGGAGGAGACAAGAGGAGGAGCCTGGATGGGTCCCAAGGAGCAAGGGGAGATCCTGTTTCTTCTCAGCAGGACCCAGGTGGAAGTGGATTCAGCTTCAGAGCCTGCAGAGGGCACAGGTGTTGCAGGAGTCCTGGGCCAGGGTCAGGCGGGTGGCATGGTGGAGGGGGCGCTGGTTTGGTTCTAAACATACATCTAGCACCACGACAAGAGACCTCCACTGCACTACTTCACAAGGGGACAGGAACACGGTGGTCATGGCACGGGATGGCTCCACGTGCAGCCTATGGCTCCGAGAGGCGAGCGGGGACAGAGGCAGACAGATAGATACAGAATATATATATATATATATATATCTTTGTACAAAGTAGAGGGAAGAGGAAAGGAAGAAGGGAACCCTGCTTGGTCACCACAGCTGATGTGGCTTGAGCCCCTGTCCCATGCCCTGGCCCTGCCTCTGAGTGGGTGTGGCAGGCTCACATCTCATTGGAGTATGTGTAGCTGGGGGTGGCAGAATACTGGGGCTGTGACTGGCTCATAGCCCCCTGGGCTGCCCCCATAGCTGCATTCTGGGCTGCCTGCTGCACGTGGGGGTTCTTCCATGCACCCGTGGTCCATTCCTCCTGTGCTTTGCTGAAACTCCCTCCACTGCCCCGGTAGAATTTATGAACCTGTTAGAGGAGAAGCACAAGAAGGGCTCATTAGGGCCGGGGAGATGGCTTAGTAGAATAAGCATTTGTCTGACAAGTGCAAGGGTCTGAGTTCAACCCCAAGTTCTGAAAAAAAAAAAAAAAAAAAAAAAAAAAAAAAAGCGCTCATTACCTGGGTGTAGTGATGCACACCTATGATTATAGCACTTGGGAGGCTAAGGCAGGAAGATCCCTTTGACTTTAAAGCCAACCTGAGCTCCATAGTTCAAGGCTAGCCTGAATTACATAGCTAGGCCCTGACTCAAAAAACTAAAAAAGAGAAATGTCTGCCAAAGGGAAGAGGCAACCCACAGCTCCTCCAAGAAACAGATGGGATCCATCTACATCTCTCCCTCCGTCCCCAAGTACCATGCAGGTACAGCAGATCTGGCAGGTAACTCCAGAGGGATTGACCTGGAGGACTAAGAAATGCATCTGCTCACAGTCCAATCCCAAGGCCACCCACTCCCCTCTGGGTGGCCACATACCATGCTGAGGGCGATGAAGGAGAAGACGGCCATGACCGTGAACATGATGGTGGGGATGAGCATGACCACGGCCGAGCCAATGTTTGTCCCAAAGAAGGAGATAGTTGCGATCCAGCCGCTATGGAGAGAGGCCAGCATGGGTGGTGTGGGCACAGGGGACCCAGGAGCCCATGCTACAGCTAAGACCACCCTGCCACCCCAAAATCCGTGTCATTGACACACAGTGACCATCTCATTGGCACCCAAGGCTGGCCAGTGGCTAGGGGAAGACCCCTATGCAGGCTTTCCAAGAGTGTGCGATGCTCCCAACCACCCACTGCCTGGCTCCTGTTCCCCTCCAAAGCTACTCCCAATCCTCTCACCCATACAGAAACCGGCCACTTGGTGTCACCTAGGCCAGGCAGCTCAGCACCTTACACTCCCATCCTGCCACCCCTACTGATCCAGAGCAACCCCACTTCTTACCAGACGCCCCAGCCTGGGATGCCCACAGCCTGGATGATGCTGATGACCAGCTGCGCCATAAAGGTGAAGAAGAACGCCATGAAGCTGAAGGAGCTGTCAGTTCTGCAGCAAAAAACATGGTTTCTGGCACCTGGAAGAGGGCCAGGGCTCCTCTGCCTCCAAGAACCCCCACGCCTTCCCAAGGATAAGTGAATATATAATGAACAGAGGACGTGCAGAGACCTTAATCAAGAGGCCAGAGTGGAACCCCTTCATGGCCTTTGAAGGCATCTGTGTGCCCAGCTATGTAAATGACATTGCACAGGGTTGGGGCTCTTTGTGTATGGGGCACACATAGGCCCTGTGGGCACAGAAACAGATGGCAGCCCCATTATCAAGGGGATGGACAGCCTACTGGCATCAAGCCAGCTACCTTCATGGGGACACAGACCAATAGTTTCATAGGCTCAGAGAGAGCAAATCCCTTTGGCACTAGAACGGACACCTTGTTGGCACCAAGATAGTAGCTAATTGGCACATAGATAGTCCTGCTGGCAAACAGATTTAAGCTCCCATTATCATGGAGATGGATAGTGACTGGCATCAAGACAGACAGCCTTATTGATAGAGTCAGTCCCAATGGCACAGACACTGAAAATTCCCTTTGGCACAGAATGGGCATGTACGGCACCAGGACACATGTATGGTGTTCCTTTTGGCACAGAATTGGATAATGTCATTAACACATGAATGGCTTCAGTGGTTCCTGGATGGCTGGCACCTGGGCTGATGATCTTCTTGTACCAATCAGCTGGAATAAGGATGGGAAGCTCCACAGATGAGACAACCCACAGGACAAGTAAACACGTAGTTTCCCAGAGAAAGCTGAGCATAGGAAAAATAGTCTGGTCTCCATGAGGACCCCACTACCACAGGAAGAGGAAGAAGTGAATGAACTATGAGGAAAGTCCCAGCTCCCAGCCCTCTCAGAGAGGCAGGAGCTCCCACGAAGCCCACAGCTAAGGAGGCAGTGGGAGCCAAGGTAAGCAAGAGAAAGCAAGGCTGGGGGAGGGCAAAAGTGGGGGGGGGGAGGAGAGGAAGAAAGAGGGAGAGAGGGAGGGAGGGGGAGAGAGAGGGAGAGAGCAAAGAGAGAAAGGAAAGGAGCTGTGCATGGTGCACATGCCTATAATCCTATAATCCTTGGCACTCTGGGATACTGAGGTAGGTAGCCTGGGCAATTTAGTGACTTAACAAGACCCTGTCTCAAAATGAAAAATAAAATTAAAACATGAATGGCTGGGGATGTAGCTCAGTGCAAAAGTTCTGGGTTCACTCTGCAGTTCTATTCTTTCTTTTCTTTTCTTTCTTTTAAAAAAAGGAATGACAGAGTAAAGAGCTGTAAAGAGACAGCAGGTGGGTACAAAGAGACAGTGCTAGGAGCCTAGGGGAGCACCAACCACTTACTTGAAGGCCTTGTAAATGGGCCGAAACCAGCAGACGTAGGAGCAGGGCGTGAAGAGGATGAGCCAGAGAAAGGCCAGGCCAAAGTTGGTGGCTCCCCCGCCTCCGATCAGCCACGCGAGACAGCCCACCAGGTTCACGGCCAGCGTGACGCTGTTCACTGCAGACCCACAAGCATACACACAAGGAGAGAGACACACACCAGACACACACACACACACACACACATACACACACACGCCCAGAATTCAAACAGAGACTCATAATCAAACACAAGCCAATGATAGACAGGTAGAGAGGTAAAGATACACGCATGCACACGCACGTGCATACACACACACAAACACCCCCCCACATTTATAGATTCATACCCACACAGAAAACCCACATATCATATCAATGAATGCATATGCATACACATGAGACACACACACACACATACACACACACGCACACAATGAGTACAGATGTAAGAAAGCAAGCTGGGAGCCCAGACCAAAGCCCTCCCCACACCCACTCCCAGAGACCTGGGAGCACAGCAGGGCCCAGCAGGCTCCTTTGGAGGCCTGGCCTCGGTGGGAGAAACACTCCTTCCCTGGCAGAAAAGCCTGGGGATGGGGGTGCAGCTCAGGGCAGTACACACGCTTAAGTGGACCAGGCCCCAAGTTCTGTCTGTATGTACAGAGCAGCCTCAGTCCTGGGCCCTCCCAGGGGTAAATCAACCACCACGCTCCAAATGGGAAACATATTACACTTCCCCTTACAAGGCTGGGCAGGGAAAGAAGACAAAAAAAAGCCTTCCTAGGAACTTTCTTTGTGTCCCAAACCACCCACTGTGCACTTCCATGGGGTGCCAGCAGTGGCTGGGACTTCAGTCTCTCTCTCTCTCTTTTTTTTTTTTTTTGGCACAGGGAATTGAACTCAGGACCTCAAACTTGCCAGGCAGGTGCCATGCCACCGACCTATACTTCCAGCCTCTATCATTCTTTAGACTACAATCACACTTCTCCCCTTTAAAGGCCCCTTACTCATCTGCTGTCCCCTGAGCTCCTGCAGACCTGGCTGCACACCGTGTCCTCTGAATACAAAACACAGACTACCCACCAGATGTTCCCTTCTCATATGGGTCACAGTGTCACTGAGTCCAAGCTAGCAGGAGGCCCCAGGAATGCCCCATGTCACACACTGACACTGACATCAGGGTGCCCCTGTGCTTGACCTTGGGCTGAGTGTGCATGATAGTAGGCCCCACACAGGTAGCATCTGCCCCCAGAGAGCCCTTCAGCACCTCAGGGGTGACACACATTCCCTCGGGTCAGAGCCCTGCCAGGTGCCCAGTGAAGACTTAGGAGATATTTATAGGCCTTAAATCCAGCTCTGGGTGAGATCTCCTCAGGGCTAGCATCCTGGGAGCCTGGGGTCAGGGAAAAAGAAGGCTCCCTAAGTTGGGCCCAATATGACCACTGTGCCGATGTACCCATCCTGGGTCCTCAGGACACAGGTGGACGCTTCTTCTTGTGAGGTCAGCTCCATACCCTGTCTTGATCACTGCTCCAAAATCTCCTGGTGCTTTGGGGTCATCCCTGATTTAATGGCTCTGTCCATAGAAAAGATATCAAGTCACCCATGGTTGCATGGGTAACCTCTCTGCCAGCTCTCCTCTCCAGCTCAGAGTCCCAATGTCCCCTCCTCCCCATAGTTACTCTACTTCCTCTCTAGAACAGACTCAAGGACTCGGCTGCCCCTTCTCCTGATGTCTGCCACTTCTGTCTCTGCTGTTACCCCCGGCCAGCTTGGCATCCAGGATTCATTACCTTGCTGCCTCACTCTCTCCCCTGTCATGGTCTGGCCACACTTACCCTAGATGAACATAGCTTCCATCCTACCTGAGCTCAATGTCCCCAAGAAGAAAGGACACTCAGGGAAGCCCAGCAGTGCTATAAATTTGGAAACCTTAGAAGCTAGGTTTCCTTGGAGAGTGTCGCTCCTCTGCACACATACTCTGGACCTCCTCTCCAACACTCCCATCCCCACACCTATACTACATTTGACAGAGAAAGGAATGGAAGTCTTTAGAAGTAACCTCCATGCCTTCCTCCCAACGGTCACAGATGCCCCTCACCTGCCCCAGCCTCTCTTGGTTAACATGCTAGGACATCTCTTCCTCACTCAAAGATCAGCAGGTTTTTTTGTTTTGCTTAAAGGTCAGGAGTTTGTGTGCCTGGCACTGTGCCCTTCCTACCACGTCACAAAGGGCCTAATGTGAAGACAGCCTTTGTTACCACTTCTGGATAATCTTGGGCCCAGGGTGGCAGTTAGGCCACATCATGGGGACAGAAACCAATTGCATTAACTCAGGAGGTGTCTGGGGCTGGCACCCTGCACAGTCAGCCTGCCTGTCTTCCCTCACTTGCCTTCTGAGCAGTTGAACATGACCAAGTGACAACATCCATGCTGATTCCTTTCCTACCAATCTGCCACCAACCACCAGAAATGTGCCCCTTAGACCTATGACCTCAGCATTCTAGACCAGTGGGACTCCAGGCTCAAAGTACAGACCAAAAACCTTGAAGTGACATCAGTCACTGAACCAATGCCCCCTGTCTATAATAGAGACTTACTGCTTGTTTTGTTTTGAGACAGGGTCGTACTATATAGTTCAGGCTGGCCTTAAACTCTATGTAGCACAGGCTGGCCATGAACTTGTGATCCTCTTGCCTCAGCCTCCCAAGTGCTGGGATTACAGACGTGCACCACCACGCCCAGCTGGAAACTACTATTTGAGAAGTGATGTAGCCAGACACACGTCTCCCCAGCCTCTCGACTCCCAGCTGAATGCTCTTCTCTTTAAACACCTTCTAAGAAAAGCAAGAAAAATAGGTTTTGAAGGAAGGACTCTCCTCCAGGTCCAGAATCCTGACATCTTGGCAGGTACCAGAGGATCCCTCGAAAATTACTCCATCAGAAGTGGAAAGGAATGGGCCAAGAAGATAGCTCAGCGGGATAAGCTCCTGCCTGGCAAGCACAAGGTCTTGAGTTCCATCCCCGGCACTCCAAAAAAAGTTACACTACAAAAAGAGCCACCCCTCAATCCAGGGGCTCTGTGAATGAGAGATGGAGGGGGAAACTGAGGTCAGTTTAGGAGCCTGCCCCTGAAAGCAGCCTGCTAGGAACCAAGTGGGAAAAGACTTCCCATCCACGGAAACATCACACCTGAAGCTGATGGACGGCCATCTGCACCCCTGCCCAGTGCCCAGTCCTCCTCCTCAGCCCAGCCTGCCCCGCACTCACACATCCAGAGGTAGTACAGGCGCTTGGTCATGCTGAGATGTTGGGGTGGGATGTCAGCCTCGAAGTCTTGGTAGAAACACGGCTTCAGCGGGATGAACTTGGGCAGCGGCGGAAAGTTGTTCACCTTCTCTGTAGGCCACGCACACCAGAGACATCAGGATGCTCCATGCCCACTGTGCCCCATGCCCCCTCTCCCTATCTGGATGGTGCCAATGTCACCCAGCTGTCCCCAGCTTCCTGAGTCTGCCAAGATGACCCTGAGTCACCACATCCCTGGGTAGACACATGGCTGGTGGACACACTGGGGTAAGGCACCCTCTCTTGCCAGGGTAGTTCCAGGAAGAGGAATAGAATGACTGAGCCAGGAGATGGGGACCCAGCCTCCACCAAACATTCATTCATTCAAGCCACTGTCCCTGCTACTCCTCAGTGTCCCCAGTGGGGTAGAGTGTGGACCAGAGGGTCCCTGAAGTTACTTCCATCCCTAGCATCTGCATCTCTGAGCCCCAGAAACCAGGAAATTTGGGACCCACAGGAAACAGAGCCCAGAGAAGGAACACAGAGGACGGAGGCTGAGCCACCAGTTCTGCTACTCAGTCAGCTGGATAGGAAGAGAAGAGTATTAGCATGCTACATCCTGGTCCCCAGTGCCAGAAACCTAACAGTGGATGAGACAGGGCCATGCTGGGGCTTCAGGGGGCAGCAGGGAGCAGCTGGGGTCAGGAGGACAGACAGAACAGCCTCCAGAGAGTAGAAACACTAGGGCCAAGGAACAGGGCCACCCTCCAGCCCTCCCTACTGTCCTGCCAGCCCCGACCGCCCTTCCTTACCTGCCATGGTGACACAGCTGGCCTGCGGCCTGCCCACACCTCTGTCCTGAACTGCAGGAAGGAAAAACCAGAGAAAGTGAGAATCAGGAGCCCCATCCAACTAGGTACCTCTCTGAACCCCAGGGACGCTGCAAGCTCCCAGGACAAGACAGAGCACAGCACCCTGCAACCTAGCGAGGCAGCTCCTGCACGCAGGCCCCCCGCCCCCTGCCGTCTGCTTCCGGTGGACTCCGGCCCTTTGCTTCAAGGCACAGAGTCCATGCTCAGAAACCAGCCCGCAACAGGAGGGGAACTCGGGCAGTGAGACCCACTCAAGGAAAGCCACAGGAGAGCGAGGGCCCAGAGACCCCTAAAGAGGAGGTCTCGCCCCTCGCCCTGCGCAGACTCCCTCCTCAGACTTCTTATCTGCCGGTAGGGGGAGCAGGTGGAGAAGCCGATGTGGACCTTGCCCTGCTCGCCCTGCGCAGGCAGCGCCTGATAACTTGGGGTGTGATTCAGAACTCTACCTATTATGTTAAAAGAAGGGGTCAGTGCACAGAGGCTTAGCATATATGAGGCTCTGGGTTCCTCACCAGCACCACACACACACACACACACACACACACACACACACACACACGACAAATTTATTTTTTGTTTTAAATATATTTAGTACAGGGTCTATGGGGCTCACTACATAGACTGGACTCATAGTGATCATCCTGTTTTCATCTTCCTAAATCCAATCCCAGGTGCGCGCCACCACGCCCAATCTCAGTGGCAGCCTCAGCGTGCCCCGGGAGCGGGAGCGGGGCTGGCACAGCACGCCAGGGACAGAACCCCGGTCCCTGGAGTCTGCCTAAACAGGCGCTTTAATCTACTGAGCTATCTGGCCGGCCGGACAAATGCATTTTTTGATCCAACAATTCTATTTACCTACAAATAAACAACACATTTCGTTCAGTATTATTTGACATTATTTGAAAACAGACTAGATATTTGAATAAACCAGGTAAATGAAGTTTTTACATAGATGTAAAAAAGAATGTAGGTAAGATCTATCAGCTGCTAAGGAGTGATTTGTGGGGTACACTAAGGTTTTTTTTAAAAAAAAATTTATTTTATTTATTTATTTATTTAGATGGAACTGGAGATTGAATTTAGGCTCTTGTGCTTGCCAGGCAAACACTTACTCTACTGAGCTATCTCCCCGCTGGGTACGCTAAGTTTTAAAAAAAAAGTATAGGGGCCGCGGAGATAGCTCAGTAGAATAAGCGCTTCCCTGGCAAGCGCAAGGGCCTGAGTTCAATCCCCGGTTCTGCAAATAAATAAATAAATAAATAAATAATAAAAAAGTACAAAAATATAAATAGAATATTGGCCCTTATATAAGAAAGGGGAAGAAAGAATATGCATATGAATTTGCTTAGTTTTATAAAAGAAATATGGGAAAAAACAAACCAGAAATTAATGAACTGGGACCTACAGAATGGAAGGACAAGAATGAGTAGACACTTTCTTTAGGTTTTGCTTTGTTTTGTTTTTGAGACAGGGTCTCGCCATGTAGTTCAGGCTGGCCTTGAATTTGTAGTGATTCTCCTGTGTCAACCTCCCAAGAGATGAGGTTACAAACATGCTACTTTTGTACATATGATGAATTACACATTCAGAAACTTAAACCAGAAAAAAAAAAGCAAACTCTCAATTGAAACAAAGAAAAACCAATGAAACTAAACGAACATTAAATTGATAACAAAAAATAAATAAAAATAACTAAATTGTTTTTCTTTTTTGGCAGACCTGGGGATTAAACTCAGGCCCTTGCACTTGCCAGGCAAGAGCTTATTCTACTGTGCCATCTCCCCAGCCCAATAAAAATACATTGATAACACAGCATGTAAGAAAAAAAATTGGCCCAAGTAAGCCTGAATCAAAATACTTTGTGTTTTCTTAGATACGCTTGCAGGTCGATAGCTGGAAGGAAACCTGGAGCTGTAGCAGGCTTGACCGGCACTACTGTACCGCTGTGATTATGGAAATTACAGGCAAGAACAAGTAAGAGGTGTGATGGCAGAAAGCCATGTGTGGTGGGGCATGCCTGTAATCCTAGCACTGGGGAGGTTCAGGCAGGCAAATGGCTGGGCTACATACTGAGACCCTTCCTCAAAGAAGAAATTAAATTTCTTGGTTGTGATAATGGCATTAAAGTTCTTAGAATTGCTGGGTGTAGTGGCACATGCCTATAATCCCAGTACTTGGGAGGCTGAGGCAGGAGGAGCATTGCAAGTTCGAGGCTAGTCTGACTACAAAGTAAGTTTAACGTCAGCCTGACCTGTATAGGGAGACCATCTCAAAAACACAAAAATAAATAAATTTAAAAAATAGAAAATAGGGGCTGGTGAGATGGCTCAGTGGTCTAAAGCACCTACTTAGAACAAGCGTAGCAAAGCACAGGGACCGCGGTTCAATCCCCCAGCACCACATGCCAGCCAGCCCCGCCCCCTGGTGGGCGGAGCTGGCCACATACACAAATAA